ACGGCAAACATACCCTTGTTTCCTTTTTTATGGCTAAGTCTGTGTTTCTCTTACTCTCCCTTCTCTCTGCCTTAATTTCATTCTTTGAAGAGAGGTCATGTAACAAAATAAGAACCCAGTAACAGGCGTTAGAAAACCTATATACAAATCATGCTCCGATAATACTGAGGCTGTGAATCTGAAGGCAAATTACTTCATGTTTGAAAAACTAAGTTTTTATGTGAAATAATGGGAATATTCTGACTCTCATAAGTCGTTAAGAGCCGCTTTGAAAGTATTACATTTTTCATAACATTAACTGAAGTAAAAAATAAACACATTAGTCTCTCTTATTTTTTAAACTGGCTACAGTATGAAGTTTTACTGCTTATGTTATGATGTTAATACTGATGACTGCTATTAACTGAAGGCGCTCTAAGGCAAATTGCTGACATTTACAGAAAGATGGACACACATAATGCTGTCTTCTTTCTCTCCCAGTGATTGGAGTCAGAATACCTGTTATGAGGATGTAAACTTCCAGAGCAGACCTTACATGCAGCTAACAGGGAATAACGGTAATGATTAGAGTCACAGTAACAGCAGCAGCAACCAATACATACACTGCTTGCCACGGGCCAGGCTTCTCTAGCAAGGTAGGTAGACAAGTATTCCTGATTTTAAAATGAAGAAACTAACACACAGTGAAATGACGTGCCCAACGTTCCGTAGCCTGTAAGCAGCAGAGCTGAGATTACACAGGGTCTTTATGACGGTCCTGGGTAGTTAGAATCTGATACTGGTCTACAGAGAACAAAGAATGAGTGGGGGTGGGGGGTTTGGGGTGGGAGGCGACGGGAGGAACTGCCTGTCCCCAAGGCAAAAAGCCACAAGCAAATTCCTCTTGCCTTTTGCCACCCATTTGTCAGACTTTTAAAGTGTTGTGTTGGGAAGGGAAGGGATGAGAAGAGATTTGAGAAGTTTTGCTCAAAACTCAGGTCAGGACTTAGAACATCATTTTGCTTCCATAGTGCAGGGTCAACAAAATCACCCAATGTTCTCCCAGCCAAATGGCACCTGTCTTAATTTCCCTTATTCAGTTATAGGGAGATGGGCCCTGATATCTCTAACCTGTTCTAAGTTTGTTGTAAGTTTATTTACTCAACAATCATTTAGTGCCAAACATTGTGCTAGGTGTTGTTGAAATAAAGAGAAATAAAACATGATCCCACCCCTTGTGGCACTCATAATCTAGTGGGGATGAGAGATGCGGACAGAAAATGTTTAAATCCGCTCGGTATGATACGGAGTGAGTCTAGAGGTGGTTAGCTCTTTCTAACGATGGAAAATCTAAGAGGCAGTGATCATACAAAACTGTCTGCAGAAGTGGCAGTTCTGTATGGTTCAACATAAGAGATGATATTCGAGCTACTTCCTGTTGGGTGAAAGGAGGGGAAAGGAAGGTATCAGGAGAAGTACAGAGAAGACCATACTCCTTAACTTACAAATGGAACACTATGTGCTTCTCACACTCGTTGGACAAAAATCATCAGGAAATGAAAGAAAACATGCACATCTCACCACTTTGACTTTTCTTGAAATTAGAGCATTATATCCCTACTTCATATGGCAACTAGTTAAAAGTTTAAAGTATCTTTTCTCCAATTCTTTCATGGTCATCCTTTTTCCAAACTAAAGAATGATGAAAATGTGGAAATTCTCAGAATCTCCCAACCATAAAATATATCACACAGATAACAAAATGCTAGAAATTCTGGCATATATTGAGTTAACACATCTCAGATTTCCTGGGTTAGCTTTTGCCACAAAACTGTGAAGGATTCCCAAGGGTGGTTATTTAAAAGCTGTAATTTTGTCTGGCATTTTCCAAGGCATTAGTCATAGGTAGCAAATGAAGGTTGCAAAATCTGAACTACTTAGATGCTCAATGGTGTTTACCTTTTAGTGGCCTCGATAAACAACTTAGCTGGCAGTTTTTGTTTAAAACTCACCAAAGTGCTTTCATTTGTTTAGCTCACCATTATGTGGATGATAAGCACTGTACCAGACCATGTTGGGAAAACAAGTTGGTCAGAAAACTTGCTTCCAATTAGGCAGTAAATGTACTGCCAACTTTGCTCAGCCAGTGAATCTGACTATGAGAGAGAGATCAGAGTTTTCTACTTGATTGAATAGATGGATCAGTTCAGTGCCAGACTCAAGCCCCTAGCTCCTAACAGCACGGGCTCTGGTGCGCTCTGAGGCAGGCTGCTTGGCGGTACAGGGCAGCGCAGAGAAGGGCGCTGGAACCAACTGGCGGGCAGCTCCCTCCGCGCTCCTGCAGACACACCTCTCAAGTCCCCACCAGCAAAGACCACGCTGGAATGTGTATTAACACTCCTGTGTCACCCTGTAATGTTAAAGATGCCGACAGAAGAGCTTCAACTTCTTCGGTGAAGCTGAAGTACTTTCTAAAACCTGTTGTTTCATTTTCCCCCATGGTTATTAAAAAGCACGGTCTGTTATGAAAAAACCAAAGTAAAAAAAGGACACATGACACAACCAAATAGTGGTCAGCCAGTAAATGACTTGATGTGAAGTTAATACAGAAAGTTCTCTTTAACCTACAGAAGGGAATATCTTCTCCTTTAAGAAGAGGGAAAAAATTTAGTTTATAGAAAAAGCTCATTAATAAATTCAGATATAAGGGTATATAGAGTGCATGCTTAGCATGCACAAGGTCCTGGGTTCAATCCCCAGTACCTTCTCTAAAAAAATACATAAATAACTAAATTTAATTACCTCTCTTCCCCAAAACAACAAAACCCCAGAGTTTTTTAAAAAATAAAAAATGCACAATTCAGATACAAGTGCTTGTTTTCATAGTTCCACTGCATAACTTTGAATATTTTTAATTTAATACTACTCAAAAGAAATAAAAATTGGAAAACCCAAATCTTCTCCCAGGGGATAGCAACCTTTTCCTTCCCCGGGTCAGAAAATAATTATTTTAGGCTGGCTTGTGGGATGGGGGGGATCTATACTGTTCGTGTCACAACCCCTCACCCTGGAGCAAAAGCACAGCAACAAGAGTGTGCAGCTGGGCTCCAATAAAACCTTATTTACCAACCCAGGCAGTGGACTCGCGGATTCCTGTCCTAGCCCCTAGCTCATCTTCCATGAGAAAATGCAAACTACCCTTCAGTTGAGAGAACAACTATTTTTCAAACTCAGGGGTGGGAGGGAGCGACGGGGGGTGTAGGGTGAGAGGGGGAAATCACAGTCAAAGGGGAACAGGACTGGCTCCATTAGGTTACCTTCTGCAGATCTGAATTCTTCTCCCACTGAAGCGCTTTCTACACCCAGGTTATCATCACTGTCACACTCTGCAAGGCAGAATCAATAAATGCAAATGTATTTCTGAAAGTTATCACGCCACAATTTACGTATCCTAAAACAGTATTATTTTCAATGACTGCTCCTGTGCCCAAGCTGACTAACTATAATGTGTATTACACCACGTTCCCTATAGGTTTGTTTTGTGTCTTTTCTTTGATGCTTACCAAATATTACTTTAATCAAGAAAAAAAAACGAAATAGGCAATTCAATTTTAGCTCTGCATTCAAAAAAATTTGAAAAAGTGTTCTTAGCATGTTGAGAAAATATAACATTCTAGTATTTTTTTTAAGTATACATTTTAAAAAGCAAGTATGTTTATTTGGATCTAGCAAATAAATTCCAAAGTTTCATTTGCATGAAATCATCTTAAAAATTTTTAAATGGTGACAGGTAAAATTTTCCTATATTTTGAAAATCATACACTTTCATCTCTATTGAAACCACAGATTTATGTTCCCAGTGTCCTTGCCAGGCACAGACACATCTCAGGTCTTTACATGCTTCCTAATGAGAAACCGAAGGCTTTAAATTAATGACATCTCTGACACGGATTACGAAAGTCACTTAACATATGCTCGTGGCACCATCAGGGACCTAGTACTGGGCTTATCACTTTAACTACACTGAAATCGCTATACACCAGAGTGACCAAATCAGGGTTTAAATAACTGTACACCAATCACATGGACATATCTGCTTCTGTGAAAATATGTAAAACTAAATATACGTTTAAAAATTAAAGATTTATCATTGTAAATAAAAATAGCTGAATTTCCCTTATATTCCTTCTGCCACAAAAATTTATTACAAAAACTACTGCTTTTCTACAATCTGTTATATACACCTACAACTTTGAATCTTTCAAGTTGTGTTTTAGGGAAATAAGAAACATTATGTTTACAGTTTGAAGAACAACAAATTAAGTCTTAAAACATTAGGAACAAAGAGAAAATACCCAAGGATTCTGTAATTACACTCAAAGTCCAGACCAGGGGAGAGCAGCATGTTGTAACCGGCCTGAACAACTCATCGCTGCAGACAAGGCCTAGGGCACAACTGCAGGTCTGAAGCATAAAGATTAGCTTGATACTAGGTTGCAAAAATATTTTAAAGGTTTCCTTTGCCTCAATTGGCCCCACCTGTAGAACAGAGAAAATCATGAATATTCTTTCCTATTTTCAACACCTTGCACAGACTTAGTTGCATCATATAGATTTTTAGGATGGCACCCAAAGCAACAACCTATGTAGTCTCATTAACAGGCTGAGCTAACAATAGCCAGATAGGCGCTGAGAATTAGGTTCAACAATTACTTTATATAGTGCCTATTCAACAGAGCATGACACTGCTTCAACCGTCCTCACTTCCACAGCGTGGGTGAATGAACATCAATGTTCAACTTCCAAGATGGCCTTACAAACCTGTGTAATTGGTATGACTTGACAGATACCAACCATCCTTAACGCCTCCACACCATTCATTCCACAATGAAGACTCAAACGAAACAGATACAACAGAGTTCCTGGGCCATGAATCAGACAGTCCAAGAGAGCATTCAGAGGCAACAAAAATTATCTTGAAGCATAGGACAGTCTGTTTTCAATTGGAATTCACTAGTTCACGACAGCCTATGCTCAAGTTCGCCCTTGCATTACCCAAGAACTACTATTCTAGGAAAGGTCGTACTTTACACAGCATTGGAAGGAAGATGTTTCATTTCTGAAGGACTATCAACAACTGAATTCACAAAACTGTGTTTTTAAAAAGAAAATCTTACATAAATCAACGTTCTTGAACAAAGCTACAAGATATGGTCGAGTTATTATATAAACAGATCTTTAAGAGCCTACAGAGTATTTCATATAACCAACGGTGGTCACTAATGAAATCTCGGAGAACGGTAACCCAGCAGTTCAGTCATCACAGCGTGGCTTAAGCAGGGGCAATAATCCAGCACTCTGTAGAGTAAAAGCAAACCAACCAACCTAAAATGTAAGCCAGGGAAGTGAAAACAAGCAGCATAGTTCACCTGTTCCTTCGTACAACACACCGTAAGCCGGGGAGCGGGGCCACGGGGTAAATGAAAAATGGGGTTGGCGTGGCGCCTTTAACTCAGGTGCGCTCTGAGCCTGCACTTCTAACAGAACACGGGCTTCTCGGTTTACTTACAAGACAAAAGATCCCAGGGAACTTACAATGATAATCTTTCCTGGGCTATGTCTGACACATAACCAGCTTACTTTTTGAAGTACCAGAACCGACAAGTCTTTTTATCTTCTACAGAAGATAAAAAACACAGAACACAAACAAACAAAAAACAAAATATAAAACCATCTTCCTAAATGTTATTTAAAAAAAAAAAAAACTCTCGTATTTGGCACTTCATACGCTGCAATGGCGTTAGTCTGTAGCAGAATGCCTCTCACGACCTTCATTCTTCAAGGACACGGTAAGAGCCAATAACTCACGCTGGATTCTCTACATCGTAACGTCAGGAATCTGAGTCAGTGAAAGCCTCAGCCTTCGCGGCAGCACTGACGGGGAACCACTTGCTGTGTGGCCACAGGTGGCCTGCTTTAACCTTTCCGGACCTCTGCTCCCTCATCTGTGGACAGGAGCCATCTGACACACCCTACCTCACAGTGCTGCAAAGAGGATTAAACATGTGTTTAAACATCCTCAAGCACTACAAGTATAAAACGCAGCTAGAATGGTGGCCGGCACGTAGTAGGCCTTCAATAAAGGTTAGCTCCCTTTTCCTTCTTTAAAATAACACTTAAGTGACAAGGGATAGCTGCATCTCTGAAACAGGAGGCTTGAGTTAGAATAAACATATATTTGTGAATAAAATGTAAAAGGTTTAAAAGAAGAAAAAGTCTACCTGGTTCCTCTGATTAAGATCACCAAAAAAGATCCATGTATCTTGACAAAGTTTTAAAAAGGGAAAATGAGTACAGTGTAAAATAGAATTGAGACGAAGGGTAAGGGGACCAAGGGTGTCAGTTGAGCACAGGTTAATATTTTATGTATCTCTACAGGGATTTATACATATATCATAGCTGTAATCAAAATACTGGTACTGGAACCCTGATGCACAGGAGAGAGAGTTTATCAAGGGCAAAAACCATGACACATTCAAGTCCCAAACTTGGTCCAAAGGCTCAGCTTGCTACAGAGTAACTGATTTGCCCTAACCACGTCAGAGATCTAAAAAAAAGTGCCAGCAGTAAAGCGACTTACCTGTCCCCTCCCTACCAAGCAGAGATGTGAGACCTTATGGCCAAGGGACTGGACATTCATGTACGGAACCAGCAACCTCCGAATATCCCTGTCTACTGAGGTATTACCTCCTGAAAAAAAACCTTCAATTAACTGAGAAGTTGGCAAAGAAACCATATGATACAAGATACCATATGATCACTGATTCTCATGACACTATTCGGCAGATTGTTCCTGCTCACGCAGGAGTAATAAATAAACCACGTCCTGGACAATGCACAATTTCTGAAAAGTTAGAAAGAAATAAGAGGTTCAAACTTACATAGTTTGTCTGTGCTTGGTGGATATTTTAAAAACCTGAAAAATCACCACACTGCTTATATAAAATCGTGATTAAATATTAGAGACCTTTTCACTGTATGTTACTTGTAGTATGAAGTTCGGTCACATCCTAAAGAGGAGAGTTTTGTGGGTTGGGTGGTTGGTAACTAGGAGCCTTGAAACTACAAACCCCCTGAAATTGTATGTGATGTTGTAAATGCATGTCCATTCTGGGGGAAAGAGGCACAGAAAGCTTCTGTCAGATTCTCAGAAAGGTCCACCGACTCCTACCCTAAAACCACACTGTTGTCAGACCTGGAGACAGGGACACTGCGCGAAGCCAGGTGGAAGCAGTCGTCCGGGCGTGCTTGTGGCAGCCGCAATTACCCTCCAGGCCCAACGAGAACTGCGGCACTTGTGGACACTGATTTTCCTCAGTCTCAGTGCATATTAAATATCATTTAACAAAAACCATTATTGTACTATTCACAAAGTCATTTGTTAGGAAAGGTGAAAGAATAAAGTTATCCGAGAGCGTTGCTGTCCCTTGATTTTATTATAAAGTTTATTACCAGGCAATTTGATGCCTTTCAGTCTTCAATAGAGAAAACAATTTTGTCTTAAAATGAAACTGAACGTATTATGATTCAGCGTAACAACAGAGTTACAAAATCATCTTTAAATCTAGGTCTGAACAAAATATGTGACTTAAAGACTACACTTCTCTGGCTACTTAATTTTATTAATTTTCATTACTTTTAAAATGTAGTGGCTACAGCACATGAAAAGATTCTCAACATCACTAACCATTAAGGAAATGGAAATCAAAACCACAATGAGATACCCCTTCACACCCTTTAGGAGGGCTACTATCAAAACAAAAACCAGAAAATAACAAGCGTTGGCAAGGACGGAGAGAAACGGGAACCCTTGTGCATTATTGGTAGGAATGTAAAATGGTGCAGTCCAAGTGGAAAACAGCATGGAGGTTTCTCAAAATATTAAAAATAGAACTGCCCTATGATCCAGCAATGCTACTTCTGGGTATATACTCATAAGAACTGAAATGAGGGTCCCAATGTCTCAAAGAGATATTTCTATACCCTTGTTCATAGCAGCATTATTCACAATAGCTAAAGTGTGGACACAGCCCAAGTGTCCATCAGTTGTAAATGGATAAGCAAAATGGGGCATTATATACCCAATGCAACACTATTCAGCCTTAAAGAGGAAGGAAGGAAACTTGGATGAAATCTGAGGACATAATGCTCAGTGAAATAAGCCAGTCATAGAAAGACAAAGGCTGTATGATTTCACTTACACAAAGTACTTAGAGTAGTCAGATTCACAGACAGGAGACAGAGGGGTGGTTACCAGGGGCTGAGGGAGACGGGATTGGGGAGCTACTGCTTACGGGCATGGAGTTTCCCTTCTGCATGATGAAGGGCAGTGACAGCTGTAAGTGTAGTTAAACCCACACAACCGTACACTTCAGAATGCTTGTGATGGTACATCTTATGTATATTTTACCACAACAAAAAAAATTGCAAAGAAAACCTAAAGAAGCAGATACAGTGGCTGGGAACCATACTTCCTTTTCACGACAATAATGATGAACAGCAGCTGCTTACTGAGCACCTGCAGGGCTTTCCCACGCCCTGCCAGACACTACACGTAACACCTAACTCTTCTGACCTTACAGACAGGAAAAGTGAGGCTCAGAAACAGTTGAGCAACTCACCTGAAACCACACAGCTAGGAAGCAGAGTTAGCATGCGAACCAAAGCCCACGCCCTTCCTTCTGCACCGCGTGATCTCTGCATTTCACAAAAACTCAGAATAAAGTGCACAGGTGCCCCTAAAAAGCATTAAGTTCAAATAAGCACTGACTACAAATGAATGAATTAAAATAAAAAAAAAAAGCCTAGAACATAGGTGCCATTCAGAAAAGATCAGTTTACAACAATAACCTGTGTCCTACCTCCAACCCTAATGTACCCACAGACCTACTCATAGGCAGCTCTCATTCCAAATAAAGTTGAGAAAAAGGCATTACCCGTAACAGGCTTCATGTTCTAAATGACCTAAGTCACGCTCCCCAAAGCAGTGTCACAGGAGAAAGAAAAGGGGGTTGGCCTTGGTGGCAAAGGTAAAAATTTTAAATATTTTACAAGATATTAATTTGATATAAAAGTGAGGAAGAAAAAGAGGTTGAAAAAGCCAAGGATAGAAAAAGCAACTGAATGAAAACAAAAATTACAGAATACGAAGGTAAAATTCAGTACTAAAGCATAACAAATATGCAAAAAAAAAAATGCTTCCTGTAAAGAGCACAGCAGTGCTGGTAGCTTAGTGAGTCCTAACTCTGCAGAAGTGAACCGACCCATCATTATGAGTGATCAGAGCAACATTCTTCGGAATGGATCTTCAATCACAATGTGGCTCTGAATACAGTGGGGGAAAAAAAAAACAGCTAGGAGAGCAGACCTGAAAAACTTAAAGGCATATAGTAAGAATTCCAAAGAGCAGTCAGTTTTCCCATTGAGGTCCTTCACCAATACCTTCAAATCCTATTCACAGCTTTAAATATTAGGATATTTAAAAATTACTTTTATTCTCTTCTATCCATATTTATTTCAGAAATTATGAAAAAAAAGAAAAAGGAAAACCCCATCTGAATGCCTGGAGTCACATCCTTTCTTAAATATTGGTTAGTGAGAATGGACATCAGCGCGTCCTTTCACTGAACCATCTCAGCAAGGCCGAGAAGAGAGCGGAAGTCCCAGGAACAGGCCAGGGGGTGCCCAACTCTTCAAGGGAATAAAGACCTCTCGGGGCTTCATTTTGTCACTGTCAACCTCTTAACTGGGTTTGTTTTTTGGGGTTTTTTGGGTTTTTTTTTGGTATTGCCACGTTATCGCTTACTGCTTTCTGGTTTCTCCTAGAAGCACTTTGCTTTCTGAAAAACTGAAGATAAATTTGGAATTTTAGAAACAAAATGAAGATCTGGATTCTGAGCTCTGCAAAACTGTACTAACATATTTCAAACCATAATGTGTGTTTTATATACAAGAATATGAATTTTATCCATTAGATTAAAAAAAGGCTCCAGAAAATCATGAATTCATTCTTCTCCTAACAGACTGAAAATGGAAGTGAGGGAAGACGAGAAGATGGCAGCAGTGCGCGCGCGGCGGTTCAGTGAGCAGGCAGCAGGGCGGGGGGACAGCAGTTTATTGGCTTTGCTCAGCAGTGGAGCCTCCTCCTCTTGGGCGGCTTGCACTGTGGCTGCGGCTGCGTACCTTTGGTGGTGTCAGATATGCTATTTAACAAGGCGCACATCATATCTCCCTCTAAGTGGTGAGGGTTGAGTATATGTGCTGGCCTCTGAGTCTTCTTAAATTGATTCTCTAGCTCCAGAAAGCCTTGATCTCCTGAGAGGATGGTGAAAGGAATCTGCTTGGGTAGCTGCTCATCTAGACGGCCAGCCTAAGTTGGAACAAATGGCACATGTTGATCAAAATCAGCATTTGAGTTTCCAGTCACGTTACATCTACGTCAGAATGAACACACAGCTAGAAAGGTGTATTTAGTTTGCTCCCTAGCTCCCACTAAAGTACAATATAGAAACCTCATGCATAAACGAAACATACCACATTTAATCAAATATAAAATGCCGCCAATTATAAAATAAGCTATTTTATGTGCCACTAAGAAAGAAAGAAAAAAAAGGCAGAATCTAATAGGAGGCCCCTATAAAGGTGGAATACTGAAAGGGCTACACACGCAATCTAAGGGTAAATGAGAAACAGACCTGCCGCAGAGAAAAGTAAGCAAAGGGATCTGCGTGACTCAGGCTCAGCACTGGCTGGGCGGAAAAAGGAATCACCTTGTGGTTTAAAACATAAGCAGTAGCCGATAGGTCTGCAGAGTAAACTCATATTAACTGTGTCACACACAGACCCCTATGCAGAGACTTTCACTTAAACCAGGTCTCAGGTGGCTGGCAGAGACAAAAGCAAATGCAAATCCCACCTGGGCCAACTGTGAGGGTGACCCCAGGTCTCAGAGGTGTTAAAATGCGAACGCCTTAGCACGCAGCAGCACAGCGCCGTCTCTGGGTCATTTATTCCACACGCAGCTGAGGGCCTACTACGTGCAGCAGGGAGTCTGCTGGGAACTGGGGTGAAGCAGTGCATACATGATCTGGGATCCTGCCCCCTCAAGAGTCGTAAGTAGAACCTGACACAAAAGGTTTTGTACAAAAATACAGCACAGAAAAGGAACCTACAGTGCTATGATTCAAGCAGGAGAAAATCCCAGTGGGTCGGTCCCAAAGCCACGTTAGCCTCTGAATAAAGCAATGACTCACGTGCATACATATGGCAAAGTCCGCAGCGTCTTTCCTCTTACTACAGCGAGGATGGAGGAAGAAGCAGCCGATCCTATTCAGGTAATTATAGATCTTACAGTTGACTGGAGGCTTCCAGTTGGTGTTTCCTCCTATTATTTTTAGAAAAGGCATAAGTGAGAGTCAAACAGGGGAGAAAAAGAACAGAACACTAGATACAACCGAAAATTCTCTAAGGAAAAACAAACACTAGAAAAAAATGCTTCTAGAGGCAAAAGTCCCAGACTCGAGCAGAACAAGGCAGTTCCAGGCCAGGTGTCACCATCCTGTCGCCCAACTTCCCCAGTCTGCCCATTAACCTGAAATCTCACGGAATCAGAAGTGCTGCGCGTGAAAATGCCCGGAACGGTATCATTCTGCATGAATGCTGGCTCAGCGGTTTTCAAGTCAAGCATGTCAAGGCTGCTCAGGGGGTACGACGATGGGCAGTCAGGAAAGCAGGACTTACCGAAGGGCTGCACTGGCCTCCTCATCCAGGTCAGCACGTTTCCACCTTAAGTCCTAGCCCTCCTCTGTATTTTAACATGTTTATTTTTTATCCTATTTTTTACACTGAGCACCTCAGGAACTAATCCTCCTCTTTATACGCTGTTTCCTATCAAACGTGACAGGCACACCATGTTTCACTGCGCTTTGCTTTACTGTGCTTTGCAGACATTGTGTTTCTTACAGATTCAACGTTTATGGCAACCTTGCACCAAGCAAGTTTACTAGCATCATTTTCCCAACAGCATTTGCTCACTGTGTGTCATATTTTGGTAACAGTCACAATATTTCAAGCTTTTTCATCATTATTGTATGTGTTATGGTGCTCTGTGGTCAGTGATCTTTGATGTTACTAACTGTAATTGTTTGGGGCACCATGAATCGTGCCCACACAAGATGGCAAACTTGATCGATAAATGTATGTTCTGACTGCTCTGCTGACTGGCCTCTCCCGTCTCTCTGTCTCTCCCCTCTGGCCTCCCTATTCCCAGGAACACAAAAATATTGAAATTAGGCCAACTAATAACCCTACAATGGCTTCTCAGTGTTCAAGTGAAAGAAAGAGTCAGACTTTTCTCACTTTAAATCAAAAGCTAGCAATGATTAAGCTTAGTGAGGAAGACAGGCAGAAAGCTAGGCCTCCTGCACCGAACAGTCAGCCAAGTTGTAAATACAAAGGAAAAGCTTGTGTGGGAAATGCAGGCGCTGCTCCAGTGAACACATGAACGATAAGAAAGCGAAACAACCTTACCGCTGATTAGAGAAAGTTTTAGCATCTGGATACATCAAGCCAGCCGCACATTCCCTTACACCAAGGCCCCACCCACAGCAAGGCCCTAACTCCCTTCAATTCGGTGAAGGCTGAGAGAGGTGAGGAAGCTGCAGAAGGAAAGTCTGAAGCCAGCAGAGGCTGGTTCATGAGGTTTAAGGAAAGAAGCCGCCTCCACCACATACAGTGCAAGGCGGAGCAGCAGGTGCTGATGGAGGAGCCGCAGCAAGTTGTCCAGAAGATCTAGCTCAGATCACTCATGAAGGTAGCTCCACTAAACAACAGTGTCAGCCTTCTATGGAAAGAAGATGCCATCTAGGACTTTCATAGCTAGAGAGGAGAAGTAATTCCTGGCTTCAAAGCTTCAAAGCACAGGCTGACTCTGTTATTAGGGGCTAATGCAGCTGGTGACTTTAATTTGAAGCCAATGTTTATTTACCATTCTGAAAATCCTAGGGCCCTCAAGAATTAAGCTAAATTGACTCTGTTCTCTATACATGGAACAACAAAGCCTGGATGACAGCACATGTTTATAACATGGTTTATTGAATATTTTAAGCCCACTTTTGAGATCTACTGCTCAGAATAAAAGAATCCTTTCAAGATATTATGGCTCATTGACAATGTACTGATCACCTAAGAGCTCTGATGCGGATGGGCAGTGAGGTTCATGTTGTCATGCCTGCTAATGCAACATTCATTCTGCAGCTGATAGATCAAGGAGTACTTTTGACTTTGAAGTCTTTTTAGTTAAGAAATACGTTTCATAAGGCTACAGCTGCCATAGACAGTGATTCCTCTGATTGAAAACCTTTGGAAAGGCTTCACCATTCTGGATGCCATTAAGGATATTCATGACTGAGAAGATGGGATGAGGTCAAAACAACATCAACAGGAATTTGGAAGAAGTTGATTCCAACCTTCATAAATGACTTGAAGGAGTTTAAGACTTCAGTGGAGAAAGTAGTGGAAACTGAGAGGATCAGAATTAGAAATGGAACCTGAAGATGTGACTGAGATGCTGAAATCTCGTGATAAAACTTTAACGGATGAGGAGCTGCTTCTTATGGATGAGAAAAGAAAGTTGCTTCTTGAGACGGAATCTACTCCTGGTGAAGATGCTGTTTAGACTGTTGAATGTCAACAAAAGATTTAGAAAATCACATATACGTAGTTGGTAAAGCAGTGGCAGAGTTTAAGTAGATTGACGCTCAGTTTTGGAAGCAGCTCTCCTGTGGGTAAAATGCTATCAAACAGCATTGCATGCTACAGAGAGCTCATTTGTGAAAGGAACAACTGATTCAGCAAGCTTCATTGTTGTCTTATTTTAAGAAATTGCCACAGCCACCCCAACCTCAGCAACCACCGCCCTGACCAGTCAGCAGCCACCAACAACATGGAGGCAGGTCCCCTCACCAGCAAAAAGATTACAACCAGCTGAAGCCTTGGGTGATGGCTAGCACTTTTTTAGCAATAAGGTGTTTTTTCATTAAGATGTTGTTTTTTTAGAGATAATACTGTTGCCCACTCAACAGACTACAATAGAGTATAAACATAATTTTTATATGCAGTGGGAAACCAAAAAATTCACGTGATTGCTTTACTGCAGTGGTCTGGACCCGTATATCGCCGAGGTATGCCTGCATGTCAGATGCTCATTATACTAAACTTCTGTTAATCAAGAAGTTGTCTTTCTCCCAGGTTTGGTCAATAGTTTGCAAAGAGATTTATACGAAGATGCACATTTACGAACAGTAAGAATGAACCGAAGAGGCAGTTACGTTAAAAATAACACTAGTCCTGTAGTCACAAGGCCCAAGTTCAAAAGCTAACTCTACTATTTATTATTTTTGTACTTGGGAAAAAATAAACTTCTCAGCCTACTTCCTTTTATTTTAAAAGGGGGGAAATTATAATAATTAGTAAGCTTGCGTTAGGACCAAGCACAGCAGCTGGTGTATTGTAGGTACTGAATAAATGCTCTTTCAATCAGTATCTAACAATCCACAAACTGTGGGTCACCAAATAGAGCCAACATTTACTGCAGAGAACTGTAAAGAGAAGACACTGTAGCAGAGTAACTATAATGCAACGTGACAAAATTCCAATTATATTCCCATGCTCTGTTCAGGAAGGTTCAAGAGGAGTCCTTTTAAAACAAACCATATTCTAAGGGGAGAGGGAATAAAGGGGGAGGTTGTCTCAAATGTTTTCATTGTTAACCATACCTTGAAAGCCCCAGATAAATGTTCCTTGGTTCAGATGCCCTGGTAGATGACCAAAAAAGTTTGACCAGTTATCGAAGTCTACAAAGACTATGTGCGTCATGGTCCGCAGGTAATCCAAATCTGGAAGCTCAATGTCTTCGTCTGGGTAGAAACAAACATGAATATGTATGTGATAAGAACTGGCTAAAACATTTTACTTTGTCAACTGAGTATTAATCTTGCACGTTATTTATTTCTATCTAAACCATTTCATGAAACCCAAACCTGTACATAACACAGTATATTTACATCGGATAAAAAATATTTGACTATTTCAGAAATGATTATCCTTTCTACAGATATGTGCCATTGATCCTCAGACTTTCTTTAAAAGTCACTTTTGAAAGGAATTTTTTTTTAAATTAGTGTACTGGACGATACAGAAGACCAAGTTTTAAGGCTACGTAAAAAACTTGCACCATCCATCAAAATAGAATTTCAAGGTTACTTGCTAAGAACTTTTCTCTGCACCAGGCTTGTGCGTTTTTCCTAACCTAGACTGATTTCATTAGTGGCCCTCCGGCTCTGTGATCAGACACCTGAAGAGCAGAAATGAGACAACCCGCCAGCCTGCTACCATCAAGCAATGCATAACAGGTAACCGGGGGGCACGTGGACACCACCCCACACGGACATATCTTTCTTGGCTCTCCAGTCCTTCACCTGCCGCTGTCCTCCAGCTCTCTTTCTCCTTCCTGTCCTGTCTTTCACATCTCTCCACCTGGACGAGGTCTTACAGTTTTTAGAGGTAGCAATGCAAATCTTAAAATTTTTAATTGTTTTAAAAATAAATAGTTCCTTGTCCATCTAATAGAGACCTTCTCAAATATACCACTGCCATACTCTCCTCCCATTTCCAACCAGCCACCTCCTTATACCTCTTCTTAAAATACTCAGCAGTTGTAGCTTTAGATACTAAATGACCTTCAACCCACCAGAGACCAACACAAATTCCCAAAAGTCGTCTAATGAGCAAAAGAAAAACACAGAACATAAAACAGTGTGAACACAGCTTCACTGTCTCAAGTAGAGCTGAATGGGTCCACAGCATATCATTTAATTTCTTACATAAAACATGCTGCGACTCAAGTTAATGCTGAGCTCTGCGTATGCTAAAGAGCAGGTCTATAAAAATTCAGTCGTTCATAAAAATGCTTTATTAGCCAAAACTTTCATATGTCCTCATGTCCCACTCTACACCATGTAACGTACGATGAGTTAATAACTATCTAAAAGTTGTACTTAAAATTATACTCTAGGGAAAACAATTACACTTATGAGCAAAATAAAAACAGTGTTCCTCTGGACTTCCTTAATCTGCTCATATGGAGGAAGGAGCGTCTAGAGTGGCACACACAAGGGCACCCGGATCTCAGCTTTCTCCCTGGTTTCCCACTGCCACTTACGGCTCTATTTCTCTAATTGTTATTTCAACTGTAAGTAAAAGCTTTGCTTCCAAAAAACCCCTGACAAAGAGGTACAAGTTCCCAAATGCTCTTTCTCATACTTACAGAATAAGGCCAAAACAGAAACTAAGAGAATTCACCTGACTTATCTTTTCAGTGGACCTGAATCTAAATGGCAGTGATGTGCAGAATAACTTTCAAGTCTGACTTTGAGAAAGACGTCTGCTTCCCTTCTCTTGCAAAATCCCCGTGCCGTTTGGAAAAGAAAAGAAAATGTTGTCTGAAACCCCTATTATTTGAAGCCAACATAAATTTTGTCCCCTGAAGTTGAGAGCGGCTGAACGAAGCGGCAGGAACACAGCCCCCTCGGGAGGCCACGCGGCAGTAACTGGCTGGCTGTCACCCTGCGGGGTCTCCCAGTCAGCTTTCACAGCGCAACGGCTGCCTCCCGGGAAGGGAGGGGGACCCGCGCAGACGGCGGCAGGGCTGTGAGGCCGTACCTACACTCTGGCCGCCTCGCTCACTCTCGGCTCCCGGCTCCGGGTCTGAATTCTTTGGGTGGCTCACCGCCGGCTTGGGTTTTCTCTCTGCACGGGAGGCACCGGCGGCAAACGTGTACGGGCTTGCCTTCTCCGAGCCGAAGTGCGCCAGGCTGGGCTTCTGGAGGAAGCAGTGCTTCCTGTGGAAGTGCTGCTGCGCGCTCTCCGGGTCCTGGAAGGCCTTGGTGCACGTGCCGCACTTGATCGTGAACCACGGGCCCCCCGCCTCGGCGCCCCGCTCCCCGCCGTGCGCCTGCTGCACGTGCACGTTCAGGTCGGCCACGTTCTGCGCCGTCGCCGAACACAGGCCGCAGCGAAACCACAGCCGGCCTTTGTCCAGCATGGCCTGGAGGCACCGGCCGTAGTCCTCCTTCCTGTTCACTTTGCAGATGTAGCTCTCACGGCAGCCGCAGGTCAGCAGGCCGCTGGTCTCCGCCACCGGGAAGTCGCTCTCGGTTTTAATCGACACGGCCGTTTTCTCCGACACAAACACATAATCTGTGCTGTGCCGCTCCTTGTAATGACTCAGAAAAGCTTCCTCCGCGTCAAAGGTCAGGTCGCAGAGCCCGCAGAAAGAGCGGCTCTGCACCTCGCTGTCGTGCTCGTCCTGGCAGTGCCGGTACAGCGTCTCCCTCTTGTGGAACGTCTTCTTGCAGTGGGCACAGCTGTACCTGTGAAACTGGTGACTTGCCAAAGACATGCAGTGCTGCCTCGCAGCGTCCTGGGACTCGAACATATCTTCACAGATCCGGCACTGCCACTTACCCCTTGGGGGGCTGCTTGCCCGGGAGTGATCCGCAATGGTGACAGATGAAGGACTCTCTGCAGTCAAACCGCTCACCGCCGCTGCGGAGGACGGTGGCAGAGTCTCCCCTTCCTCCTCATCAGTCTCATAGAAGTACCTGTGTCCGTTATGAAACTCGGTCACATGTGCCATTATCGCCTCTTTCTCCTTAACTCCTTTTTGCATGTCCGACACCAGAAAAGAAAATTATTTAAATGTGCCCCTCCATGGATGCGGCTCATATGTAAACGGATAACTCCTGAATCTTCACACACCTTCCCACAGACCACACACTTGTAACACATGGTGTTTGCTGAGAACACGTGCTTTTCTACTGCATCCTCACTTGGGAACCGTTGATGGCATTCACAAAACCAGGCCTTAACAGCTGGCTTTGCCCGCTGAACAGAAACCACACCTTCATGGCTTTTACCTCCTAAATTCATCTTCTTTTTTGGAATGGTGCTGCAATCTTGTGAGCTAGAGTTTTGAACTGACATTGTTCTTTTAAGTGATGAAAACTTGGATGGATCTTGCAACAGGTTTAAGTCTGACTGAGGTCTGCTCCCTTCGCTGCTGTGGCAGTAAAGCAGGACTGACTCTTCCATCGAGGTGATGACTCGGACTGTGTGTCCTGAATTCTGCTTGTGATTCCGGGTGCTGGTTTCGTCCACAAAGGCATGGTTGCAATGTGGACAATAGCCTCGTAGTATGAATTTCTCTGCCACCTGAGCAATGCTCTTCTCAGCCACAGCTACAGGACCAGCATTTCGACAACGAACTCTAAATGGGGCAAAAAAACACACTCGTAAGCGTTTTCTGAATACTGTATCTCTGCTTTGTATTACAGGAGTTATAAACTATGTATATATATAAGCACTAAAAATGTTTTTCAATAAAGATGCAGATTATATAATATTCCATCAACTCAAATACCCGAACATAACCTACAGTTTGTATGTTTCCAATCCACATATCAAAGGATAAAACTAGACCTAAAAGAGTAAAAAAGAAAAAAAATAGAGAAACTTTAGAGAACTAAAAACAATACCAAAGGCACTGAAATGGACCTTATGAGACAAGCAAATAATTAACTTCTCTGTGGTAATTAAGCAGTACCGAGGACCACTACAGGAAGAGTCTCAACAGCCTGGTGCTTATTCTTCAAGAACAGATTAATTTTATGTTAGGAAATGCCATGCCCGTGGTTGCTTTCATACTAATGAACCAGGCTCAATTAAGACCACACACTATTCCAAAATTTTACTCAAAATAAGTCAACTTCTCTAGAAGAAAAGAAAATGGAACAACTGTGCTTCAACTGTCTTCCCTTTGCTACCAAACCTCAGAGAGAACAGATCTGCTACCAAAAGTGGGAAATTATACAAAGTATGCTTTCTAATTATAGTGGAATTAAATTGGAAATAAGAAATAATAATAACCCCCCCTAAATATTAGGAAATTAAATCCCTAAATTTTTAGAAGTTAAACAACACATTTCTAATAAATCTATGGGTCAAAAAAGAAACCAAAAGGTAAAAGGTAAAATATTTTCACTGAGTAAAAAAGAAAACAACTTATCAAAATCTGAGGGATGCAGGTAAAGCAATGCTTAGAGAGAAACCTGTAACTTTACATGTTTATCTAAGAAGCTAGAAAAATATAAGCAAATTAAACTCAAAGTTTAAAGAGTAGAACTCAACAAACTAAAAAATGGGCAAACAACATAGAAGCACCAGTAAAATCAAATGCTGGCTGTTTTCAAAATCTATTAAAAATTTTTGAGATCAATTATAGAAATAAATAAAGAAGCTAAAAAAGTTTTTTTAAGCCTGAATTTTTTAAAAATGAAGAAACAAAATATATTCCTGAAGTAAGAATAATCAAAGGTTTCTCATACTGCATAGAGAAAGCATAACTATAAAACTAAAAGAACAATCAATCAATTACACTTAATGAGATTAAACGCCTCTAACATAATTAACAATATAAATACGCAAGTCGAGACTGGGAGAGAATATATTCAAACATTTGACAAAAGATTTATATCTAGAATATATCAAGAACCCCATCTCACTATTAAAAAGACAAATAATCCAATTCTTAAAATCAGCAAAAGACTTAAACAGACATTTCATAAAGATCAGTGAATGTCCTACAAGCACATGAAGAAGTGTCTGACGTCACTGTTCATCAGGGAAATCCAGATTAAAGCCACAATGGGACACTCAAGAGAATAACTAAAATGAAAAAGACTAGCAACAGCAAACCTGGGCAAGGATGAGGAGGAAGTGGAACTCTCACACCTTGCTGAGGGGAACATACGCTGGCACAGACACTCTGGGAAAAGTAGTTTCTAGTTGTAAGATTACATACACACCTACTCTTTGATTCAGCAATTTCATTCTTAGATATTCATCCAAGAGAAGTGGAAAGACATGTCTATAAAAAGACTTGTACAAAATGCACACCGCAGCTTTCTGCACAGTAGCTAAAAACTAAATAATCCAAATGCCCAGCAACATGAGCATGAACAAACAAATTGTGCTATATTCATACAATGGAATACTACTCACAAATAAAAGGGAACAATGTATTAAACAATATGAATGAATCCTACAGATACCATGACAAACACGAGAGCGCACACTGTACATGATTCCATTTACATCAAGTTCTAGAGGAGGTAACACCAAGGTAAGGGGGAAGAAGTGTCAGAATACAGACCGTCCGTGGTGAGAGACTGGGAGGTGACTGAGAAGGGACACAGTGGGACTTTCCATGGAGAGGTAACACAGGATGACAAAAGTGTGGGTTAACCGATGTCTCCAGTCTTCAAAATCATCAAGGTTAAGATTGGCACACTTCAATAAATCACCACTGTATCTCAAAAACAAATAACTTTAAAAATAATTAAGGGGGTAAGGCTCATAAAGATATATAAATAAAACAAGAATCGCAGTGCTGATTGTTATTGAAGCTGGTGATGGGTAAATGGAGGTTTGTCTTATTATCCTGTTGACTTTCACACAGTGCAGAACAAGGATTTGAACTAATGATATGTAAGTCAGAACCAGGACTGGTAACATCAGTAATTATACTGAGTATACACAGAGGAATTATACTCCACTGCCTCCATTTTTTTGTGAACATATTTCACTTGAGTGTTTGTGAAAATAGCTGTTCTATTTTGTTGAGAGGTGAGAGTATAAATCAAAGTAAAATGAAACTTTATGAGAGTGTAAATGAAACACACCTGTCATGTGTTGGTAACTGCTGAAGCCTAGTGAAAGGTACAAGGGGGTTCATTATACCGCTCTCCTTACTTCTGTGTATTTCCTGGTAATTTCCATTATAAAGACAAAAAACCATACTTGATTATTTGACAAAGGTGGCCTTTCACTGATATATAATATTTCAACATGTCTGCGATATTTTCCACTCTGGCTGACTGAAAGGCAAGGGTGTGTGTTAACCCTCTCCTCCCCGAGGTACGACACTCAGAAAACGTGCAGAACTGAGAACTGTTAGCCTGCTTAAGGTTCACGGCAATATCAACATATCCACCTTTCCCACACCTCTCACTTCTCTCATTTTGCTAAATTTGGTTAGTTTTCAGGGCAAATATACATTCTCATTTTAGAAGGAGAGACACATGGACTAGAAAAGGATTTGTTGACTCTGCCTGCTGGTGAAGAGCTTATGGGGTGGGAGGATTCCCTTACAGCCCAAGACTAGACCAGTACAAACCTGAAATGGGCCGTGAGCTCCATGTGGGAACGCAGCGTCTGGTGGCAGGCCACACACCTGACTTGAAATGGGACGTCTTTGCACAGAGAGATCAAGAGTTTCTTTGCAAAAGATGGAAATGATATTGGGTGTGCCAGCCCCTTGTCATCTGAAAGACAAAATAAACTATAACTTGCAAAGGTTTGAGTAGAGTGACCCAGCCTTCCCCCGCCTTGGCTTTCTCCACATCAGTTGTAGTAAGTAAAACAAGATAGTTATTTACGTGCCAAAAATCCTAAGAGAAGTCATTTTCTACTCTCAGTTAACTGCAGTGGATGCGGAACTCATGCTCAAACTAGAATCTGAGTCTTAGATGCAGAAAAACACCCCAACTTCCCAGACACCACAGATACACAAAACCATTGCCCTGAACAAATGTTTTCTTCCCAAGTTTCTCTCCATCCCTCAAAGTAGACCTTACTCTTAGGTACAGATCAGAGACTGAGACTCTTGCTCAAGAAAGAAAAACTGAGATAAAAATGTTTCCCTTTCACAGTTCTCAAACTAACGTGAGCATAACACCTTAAGAATCATCTGCGAAGTACAGTAAACCAGCAAAGATTAAAACAGTTTAACGGTTTTCAGAAGAGAGTATTGACATACCACCCAGTTTAAAACTCTGATGGAAATGATTCTTCCCAGACATATGCTTCAAACACTCATCCTTGCTGCTAAACAGAAGGAAGCAATTTGGACACGCAAAACACTGAATAATCTGAGGAAGAAGGCTGTTTTTATGTCCATCATCTGCAGCTTCCTAAAACATAAGGCAAAGCTGTATTATAGACAACTAAAGTCAATATTCAGTTTCTTACATCAACTTTCAAAATGTCCAACTTATTATTTACTTGGAATATTCTGTATCAATTTTTAACATGAAAACTTTTTTTCCCTGAGTGTGGACTACAATTTTTATCATCAATGAGGTCCCATATATGAAATTTTTCATTTTTTTCCTTAAAAACAAATTATGACCATCTTTCTGTGACAATAAACATACGTTTGCTCTCTATACATTTTTCTTCATACATACACATCCATATGCAATATTATATAAATGCATAATTGTTTTCACATCACATACACTTCCCCTTATGTTTTACTTTGTTCACTGTACTCAACAATATAACCTATGTTTACAAATATGTATTCTTCCATAAACTTCTCCATGTTTAACCATTTACAAAAATACACAGAAATAAACATACAAGGGGAGTTGGCAATGTTTTATCAAATACTGTCATCTTACAGATTCCTCTGCTTCTTAGTTTTTTTTATTCCACAATACTTAATGGAAATCCCTAAAAATCAACTCTTACAGCTCTAGCTTACTCTTCTTAATGGTTACAAACTACTTCCTGGTGTGGATCTACTAAGATGTAGTCAACTATTCATTTCCAGGCTCTCTCTCTCTTTTGTTTTGGCCACTATAAACAAAGATTTTGTAAATATTGTTGAATATATATCCTTATTTAAAGGTGCTTTTCTCTCATTATCAGGAGTGGTCCTATTGGGTTAAAAGGATTATTATTTGAATATTAAAAGACATTGTGTAATTGCTTTCCACAAAGGCTCCACCAGTGGACGTATCCCCGGGCACCGGATGAGCCTGGCACAACAGCTGTCACAGACCTTACTCTCACATCTGCAGTCTCACAGGTGCTGTGAACTCCCTACTACTTTAGTGGGCACTTCTCATCTGCTAGTGAGTCTGAGCACTTATCCGTGCAGTTCTACAGATATTCCGTATTCTGTGGATTGTTTACTCCATGTCCTTTAGGCTCATGTTTCAACTGTTTTTGTTTTTTTCCCTCTGGTCAACCTGTACCCATTCTTTGTTATCAAAACTAACTCTGTCTCATCCTCTATTTTTCAAACATTTTTCATCAAACATCTGTCTATTAATTTTGTATATGGTCACTTTAAAATTTTGATACAAACAGGTAGACCTTTCCTAGCGTCTAGGTTTCCAAACTTGGATAAGAGCCTCCTCCATCCCAAAATTAGAATAGTTTTCAGTGTATATTTATGTGGGTACATATATGTACATGCGCTTGTGTACAACAAAAATTTAACCTCCTGTTAATGGTACTTAGAGTAATAGTCTTAAAAGCTGTATTGTGTCTTCTTAACTTTACTACCACTGACATTAGGGATATTAGAATAGTTTGTGTAGCTGCTTATGAGATGCAGCAGGAGGGGGGACAGGAAATTCACATGTATACCGAGCACATGTCACACACCACACTGGGGTTCAAATGTGCTTGCCCACTTAATCCTTACAGTAACCCCAAAAAGTACTATCTTCACTACTTACAAGTGAGGAAACTGAAATTTAGGTAAGTCAACAAAATCACCACGCCCCTCCAAGCTGCACGCTCAGGAGAGACAAAGCTACCATCACACCCCGCTTTCTGTCTTTGGTGGTAAATCGTATGCTCCTTCCACTCCTCCTCACCCCATCTTACTGTGGTGAGTGCCATGCAGAAATAACACCCAGTACGTCTTGCATTCCAATTAGAAGGTTTCAAATGAGAGCACTAAAAGCAGGACTAACCACCAGTTTACTAACCACAAGTGTCCCCTACTTGAAGAACTCTAAGAAGCTTTAGTTCAGTTATGAGTTGTATAAATGGATTCAAAATAAGTTTGTTTAAATTGTTTGCTCAAGAGAACAAAACATGAGAATTGTATGATTCTACATACAATTTTATTGGGCTATACCTATTGCAGAAGTATAGTATATTTGTAAATACCTTCTACAAACTGGGGGAAGGAACGGGATATAGGATGTCTGGCAAGTTAACATACTCAGTTCCCTTTTACTGTTTTATTTCCAGTTACATTAAAAACACACACACACACACACACACCATACAAATCTGTGCACATACATAAAAAAGTAGAGCCACAGTAAGATGCCACTTCACAGACACCCACTGGGACGGCTATTTTAAAAGACAGATAATAAGTGGCAAGGACGTGAAGAAACTGGAACCCACACACACTGCTGGTGGGAAGGTAAAATGGGGCACTGTGTTGAATAACAACTTGGCAGTTCTTCAAAAACTTAAACTCAATAACCATATGAGCCAACGTTAACTCGTTAGGGACGTGGAAATATATGATTACACAAAGACTTGGACCTTTGTTTACATCAGCATTATTCACAATAGTCACAAAGTGGGCACGACTGATGCACTGGTACACAGAAAGTGGCCTCCGCCCGCAGGCTGGAGTGTCACCGCAGTGATGGGGTGAGCGCCAACACAGGCCGCGCACACAGAAGCCCGGAAGACACAGTGCCAAGTCAAAGAACCTCGTCACAGAAGTCATTTAAATGAAATGTCCAGAAAAGGGAAAACCAGAGAGACAGAAAGTACTTTCCTGATTGCCTAGGGCTGGGGAGGATGGGATGACAGGGGGAAAGTCACCTTGGAGGGCAGAGTGGCCCTCGGAGCAGAGTGAGACGCTGAGGCGCACCGGGGCTCACAGCACGCCCTCCACAGTCCTCATCTGCACCCACACGGGGAAGAGCGGGCAGCGAGCTGGTGACATGCCTGCTGGATAGCTTTACTGTCAGAAAACACTTGACACTTGCTACTCAAAGTCTGACCCAAAGACCAGCAAGCATTGCCATCACCTAGAAGCTTGTTAGAAATCTTGAATCTAAGGCCCCGTATCAGATCCCGAGTCCGAACCTGCATTTTAACAAGATTCCAAGTGACTCACATTAAAGTTTGAGTGGCACTAGTCTAGACCGCAGAAACTGGAGATAAAAAGGGAGAGCACCAAGGCAAACAATGCAGACTGTGCCTAGTTTCACTCTCTTTGAAGAATGTCACCTTCACGGGACAGAATTCTTAGGTATATGATCTTCTAGCGACCTCTTCTGGCTGATTTAATATATGGAATTACAACCTAAGCGCACTGCTTCCCACCAGTCCTGTGACAGACACTCCAAAGAATAAGCAATAAGGAGCCTTTCTTGATCACTATATGTCAGGCCCTAAGTGCTTTACATCCTATTACACTTTCTCTCAACAATCTGTGTGGAAGAGTAACAATTCCGCTTCAGGGATGAGAACTGAGCTCACAGATGTTCAGGAACTTGGGGAGAACACACAGCTAATACAAGTGACAGTGGAATCCAGGTCTGTCTGACGCCAAAGCCTTTGCTCTGCTTTACCACGCTGCCTCCCAGAGGCCGAGTGTCATACATTTACTTCCTGGGGAGATGGCAAGAGGGAGGGCAAAACAGGATAGAGTGAGTGATTCCCAGAAAAAAGGACACAAATTAATGAAATCTGGGAAAACACAAATGAGAGTATTCAATCAAGTTTGAAATACCTATTCAGATTTATTGAAGAAAAAAGATAAATATGCTTACGGCATGGAGTAGGGAAACATGCCCTGAGAGGAATCTAGTTCTGAAAAAGGCAGAATATGAGTGGCCCACTGCAAACACTGAAAACTGCGGAATGTAGTTGTGCCCTTTCCACTTCTCCCCCCAAACCTCCGTCAGGGCCATGGAGTGCCCTATCATGTATTTCTTCTCTATGTCTTTTGGCTCCACTTTAAGGTCTTTGTTCTAAATGTCATTACCTAAGTAAATCCTTTTCTCATCTCAAAGCTAAATTACTGCCAGAGTCGCCTAAACTGGTCTCCTTGTCCACATCTTTGAATCCACCCTGAACACTGGTGCCATTCTAAGTCCACCCAATCTCTTTGGTGTCCCTGAAAAAGGAGCAGAAATTAGGTTCTAGAATTTAAAGCCCTTGTAGCTCTGAAGATATAAGCATTATTTTCATCATGCCACTGTCCTATGATAGTGCCAATACCTTCCCGATATCAAGTGTAAAATCTTGTGCCTTTATAGTCAAGTTACTACTTGTGCTGGGAGTCCCCAAGGCCATCCCGGGTTCCAGGGCTGGCGAGGACTCACGGGACTTGGCATACAGCTGTACTAATGCCGTGATTTGTCACAGGAGAGGCTACAAAGCGAAATCAGCAAGAGGAAAAGGCACACAGGGCAGAGTCCAGGAAACCAGGTGTGAGATTCCAAGGGT